TGTGGAACCAAAACAATGTCATCCATGTCACAAGAAGAGTTCTTGCTACTACCATTGGCAGAATCTTTGGACACTTGCAGATAGTTGGGAGGACCCAATGGTGGGGAGGATGAGTTTTCTTCCTGAATATGTATGCTGCATATCTGAAAAGCATGATGGAAAGGCAAAACAAGGTGGAGAGCTGCCAGAAGAGCTTCCAGGATATGTGGACACTGGGATTGGGCAAGATTTCTTTACTGGAACTTGCTCGAGAAAAGGATGGCTAAAAAATGACTAGTCCATACAGGTTTCAGTCTGTAATGAGCCGGCTCCAAGGTAGGGTGGGAGAGGGGCAATAAATAGTTCAGCAGTGGAAGACAGCAAAAGCAACAAGGGAAGGGCTAAATTTCCTTTACTGTAATGCTGCAGTGAACATTCATATACAAGCTTTTGTAGGAGCAGACATTTAAATTTCTCAAATGTATACAACTAAAAGCAGAATTACTGACCCATTTCTAACTCTGTTTAATCATTCGAGAAACTGCCAAGCTGTTTTTCAATGTGGCTGTACCATTTTACATTCTTATCTGCAGTGTGCTGTATCAGGGTTCTGATTTTTACAGATCCTTGCTAACGTGTTTTCTGTCTCTTGAGACAGGGTCTCACTACATACTGCAGGATGACCTTGAACTCACAGTGATACTCTGGCCTCAGCCTCCCAAGTATTGGGATTACAGGCAGGTGCCACCATGCCCAGTTTATTGTATTTCTTTTTTAACATAGTCATTGGGTTATTTGGTTTTGTTTCTTTGCTTTTTTTTTTTTTTGTGGTACCGGGGATCGAACTCGGGTCCTTGCGCTTGCGAGGCAGGCCACCGAACCGCTGAGCTAAATCCCCGGCCCCGAGGTTTTGTTTCTTTGCGAGGAGGGGAGTTTGTTTTGTTTATTTGTTTGAAATAAGGTGAATCATGTTGCCCTGGCTAGCCTTGAACTCTTGGGGTCAAGTGTTTCTCCTCCCTCAGCTTCCCAGCCAGCTGGGACTAATAGGCGAACACCACTGTGCCTGGAAGCCTAGTTGTTGTGGGTTTTTTTTTGTTTTTTTTTTTTTTTGGTACTGAGGATTGAACTCTGGTCCTAGTGCTTGCATGGCAGGCAGCGGAACCACTGAGCTAAATCCCCAGCCCTTGTTTTGGTACCTGGGATTGATACTAGTTTTGATTTGTACTTCCATAATGGTTAATGATTCTGAGCATCTTTTCATGTGCTTATTGGCCATTTGTATATCTTTTTTGGAGACATGTCTACTTAGATCCCTTGTCAATTTTTAAATTACACTGTCATTATTGAATGTAATAGTTCAGTAATATTTATGTAGTTAAAGTCTTTTATCAGACTCTTGGTTTACAAAAAGCAGTAAAACTTTTATTTTACGTTTGCCTTTTGTTGCCTGTATATTACATTTTTTTTTTTTATTCTCAAGACAAAAATCTGTGCTGCTCAGGCTGGCCTTGAATTCCTGGGCCCAACTGATCCTCCTATCTTAGCCTTCCAAATAGCCAGGATTACAAATGCATGCTGTTACATTGAGCTTCATACTTATATGTATGCATTTTTATTTTTAACCAAATCCAGGGTCTCACCCATGCTGCGCAAGTACTCTGGCACTGGGCTGTATCCATCCCTTACCCCTTTTTATTTTTTTGAGACAGATTCTAAGTTTCCCAGTTTGGCCTTGAACTTATGATCCTCCTCCCGAGCCTCCTGACTAGCTGGGATTACAGGTGTGTGCCACCATACTCGGCTGTACCTATTAGATGTCATAGCTAAGCCATTTCCTATGTTTTTTCCTAAGAATTATTACTATTGTTATTTCCAGTAGTGGGAATCAAATTCAGGACCCTGCATTTGCCAGGCAGGCACAGTGCCACTGGACTAAATCCCCAGCCCTAAAAATTTTTATTATTTTAGTGCAGATATTTAGATGTTTGAGCCAATAAATAAATTTTAAAAATGCAGTGTGACGTAGAGGTCCAACTTTCTCTTTGCATGTAGATATCAGTGTCTCAAGACCATTTGTTGAATATAACAGATCTTTTTTGCTTTAAAGGAGTAAAGTGTGAGATTTGAGTGGTAATTTTCTAGAATATCAAAAATGAAAGTTTTTCTTGGTAGCAGGAGACTTTGGAAGAAGAGTAAAAATCAGGCATTGAAAATGAATAGATTAAAGATACAAGGAGATAATTACTGCTGATGTAAGACATGTGGTGTTGAAATGGGAGATTCAAACAGAAAAACCTGCCTCTGTAAGGCTGCAGGACAATGATTCCACTAAAGTACAAGAAAAAGTGTAAGAATAGATACTTAAATGTTGGTGGAGTAGCAGGAGTAGTTAAAGATTAGCAAAAGTAGAAGTCAGATATTCTTTGGGTAATAAGAGTCCAGTAGTTTTCTAACCAAGATGTATTTAATTTGAAGCCTTATTAGAACACTTATTAGTCATGCATTAGTTACCTGTAAAAGTCATATCCAGAGTAGTTTGCTTATAAAGTTCAAAAGCCCATTAAATTGTTGCCACACAGAGCCAGGAATGTAGCTCAGTGATAGCAGAGCGCCTGCCTTGCAAGTGCGAGGTCCTGAGTCAATCCCCCATACCAAAAAAAAAAAAAAAAATTGTTGCCACACAAAACAGATAGTACTTTATGTTGACATATCAGGTTAAGTTATGTGAAGAGCTTGGTCAGAACTGGGAAAAATGAATTCTTATTCTGCTACACTGAAGACTGCTTAGCCAGTCTTGATAAATTTGCAACGGACTGCCAAAGAGACAATTTTGGCAAAATAGGATAAGTCACGGATCTGTTTTAAGTCTGCAGGATTTGTTCATTCAGCAAGTATTTTTAAGCACCTGCTGTGTTCCAGGCTTTGTAGGCTGTGTAAGCAAAAACTGAAATGTACCTGTTGTTTGAGGAAGACAGTTTCCAGAGTGAATGAATATTGTCATATATCACTAAAGCAAAAAACAAAACAAAAACAGTGAAAATTGAAAATGCCACTTAATTTGGTGGCATGGTAGGGTCATTGGTAACATTAGCAAGAGCAGTCCTGTTGGAGTGATAAGGGTCTGTAGCTAGATTAGAATGGGTTCAGAGATGAGTCTGAAAAAGTTGGCTTGAAAGAGGAAGTTTAGTAACTAGTGGGAGACAAAGAATTGTGGGAAAGAATTTTCTATTTGTATTTTCCCTTTATTGAGGTAAATATTAAGCTGAGTTAAAAGCTGTAGGAAGAATCATTAAGAGGAAGAAGTTGATGATATGAGAGAAAGAAGGGCTAATCAATGATGCATGGTTCCTGAGGTGTCGGGGAGAACAGAATCATAGAGGATTAGGTGTAGACAGTGGGGAGAAATCTCCACCGTACTAGGATAATGAAACTGGAATGAAGGACCCAGCAGCGGGAGGCGGCTTCAGATATCAGCAAGTTGTATGGTTTCTGGGAAGTAAGAGATGTGTTATCTTCTGAGTGGAGAGGAGCCTGAGGTGGGTTGGGCTTCTGAGCAGAGGAAGAAATATAAGTAGAGGATCCATTTGAAGTTGGGAATGTTTGGTGTAACATATCTGTCCTACTTAGTGACATGGGGATAAGCTTGGAGACACACTTTCATTCAGGATCATGTTTAAATTTTGTCTTCTAGCAAGATTGTTGAAACGATGAACTATGGAATGAAAGTTTAAGAAGAAATGAGTTGATAAGATTGGGCAAAAGTATATGTAAGGGAGATATAGTTGAATATGGGGGTTCCCATTTTATTATTTAAGGATCTGGGGATTGAACTTGGGCCTTCACACTGTGGGTACCTTTTTAAAAATCAAGATATAGTTCCACAGTGCAAGTTCCACTCTTTTAAAATGTATGTTTCAGTCATTTAAATCTTTAGTTGTGTAACTATCACATATTCAATTCCAGCACTCCAAAAAATATCCTGTACCTGCTTGGAGTCACTCCCCACTCACCTTGACTCCATCCTTGGCAACCATTAACCAACTTTCTGTGTCCATTGAGTTACCTGTTCTGTGTATTTCATATAAGTGGAATCATGTGGCCTTTGATATCTAGCTTCTTTCACTTAATGTAATGTTTTTAAGGTTCTATCCATTTGTGGCATCTGTGTATCTGTGCTTCATTCCTTTTTTATGATACAATAATTCTGTTTTAATGGATATACCCTATTTTATAGTCTCTTAGTTGATGGACATGTAGGTTGTCACTTTTAGCTATTAATAATGCTGCTGTGAACATTTCTGTAACAAGCTTTTAATTTCTTATGGGTATGTAACTAGAAGTAGAGTTGCTGGATCATATGTAACTGTTTTAGCATTTTGGTGATGTGCCAAGCTGTTTTTCATAGTGGTTGCACCATTTTAGATTCCCACCAGCAAGGTATGAGGGTTCTACATTCTCACCAACACTTTATAATCATTTTAGTGGGTTCATTTGTGTACTTTTATAAAACTTATTTTTGGTTGATCAAGTAATATGTGAACTTTTTACCTGTAAATGCTATTAACATGAGATAGATCAGGCTGAAGACCCTTTCACCTGCACCCCTGTTTCTGTACCTTATGTAGAAAGAACAATTGCTTTCCTTTGTAAATTGTCTGAACTTTTAGAAAGCCAGGCACCATGGCATGTGTTTGCAGTTCCAGCTAATAATTCAAGCCAGGCATTCAAGACCTCATCTAGGGCAAATCACCAAGAAAGAGATTCTCCATTTAGACAGCTTTCATTAATCCAGTTGTTTTCATAGAAAAATTATGAGATTTTTTTTCCCTTTCCAACCTCTAACTATAAAATGTGACATCTTTTACAAATTACAAGAGTCAGTATTTTAAAAATCACATTCAACAAGCAGATCAACTAAATGTCTTTAAAAGTTTGTCCTTTATGACTTTTTAAATTACAGCTATTTGACTTCATGTAATTAAATAATATCAGTAAGACTATTTTTTTGGTCATGTCCTTAGTGCCTGGCTCTCTGGCTATGAAAACCCTGTGGTGTCTCGAATTAATACAAGGATACAAGATCTAACAGGACTAGATGTGTCCACAGCAGAGGAACTACAGGTGGGTAATCACATTAGCCTCCAGCTATTTTTACATTAAAAATGATGCTTCCAGTGAGATTCCCTCAGACTGAATAGGCAGTCCTTGACTTGCATCCTAATTTGGGACTGTAAAAAGCAATTGGTAAGCTGAAACTATGCAAAGCAATTGTAATCATCAATGGAAAAAATTGTGATTGTTCTGTAACCTTTAACATTTTTTGTCAAAACATGAAATGTCAAGAGCCACACATGGTGGTGGATGCCTGTAATCCTAGTACTCAGGAAGCTGAGGCAGGAGGATTGAGTTTGAGGCCACCTGGGCTACATAGTGAGACTCTGTCTCAGACAAAACAAACCAACCTCTGTCAAGTATAAATGTACAAGCAAGTGAAAAATACATAACACCACCATTTACTAAGTACACTGTAATTTTTTCATTCCCCAGGTAGCCAAGATAAATTTTGGTCTTTTAAAAATAAGTTGTTTTAATTCTGCTGTGAACACTTGTACAAGTTTTTGTATGAACAAACATTTAAATTTCTTTTTGGTTTGTATACATCTATGAGTGGATTGGTGGCTCATATAGTAACTGTGTTTAACAGTTGAGCTACCAAGGTGGCTGTACCGTTTTACAATTCCACTAGCAATGAATGAGGGTTCCAGTTTCATCACAACCTTGCTGACACTTGTTATTGTCCAATTTTTGCTTTTTTAGTATAGCTATTCTAGTGAGATTGAAATTCTGTCTCATTATGGTTTTCGGTTGCATATTCCTGATGATTAGTGATGTTGTGCATTTTATGTGCATATTAGTCATTTCCATATCTTATGTGAAAAATAAGTATTTAAATATGTGACTTGCAAGCACAAGGACCTGAGGTCGATCCCTGGTACCAAAAAAACAACAAAAAAAAATGTAGCCCATTTTCAAATTGAATTTTGTGTCTTTCTGTTAAGTTTTAAGTGTTTTTTATATATTCTTGATGCTAGACTCTTGCTGGATAAATGATTTGCAAATACATGCTCCCATTGTGGGAATTGTCTTTTTATTCTCTTGATGGTATCCATTGGCATAAAACTTGTTATATTTTTGTTGCTTATGTCTTTCATGTGTCTAAGAAACCACTGCCTAATCCAAAGTCACTAAGATTTACACTTATGTTTTTATTTAAGAGTTTTACAGTTTTTATATTTGGCACTGGTTGAACCTGTAGCCTTAAGGATACTAAACTCACACTGTACTGTTAAGCTACACATCCCTGGGCCCTAAAAATATTATAGTTTATACTTACATTCAGGTCTCTGATCCACTATGAGTTAATTTCTGCATATGGTTGTAAGGTTAGGCAGTAACACTTGTCAGTGCAGTTTAAAAATATTGAGAAATAGTGTTTTATTTCTTTTTTTAAAACTTACTAAAAATAATTTATATTCAGGAGGCAGAGGCAGAAAGATCACAAGTTTAAAGCCAGCCTGGGCAACTAAGTAACTTTGTCTCACAGAAGGGTTTGTGATATATCTTAGTGGAATAGTCTTAGATTAGCATGCATAAGACCCTGAGTTCAATCTCCAGTGCACCCCCGCCAAATTTTTATTTTATTTAAATCCCAAAAGGTAGTAATTGTGGAAATAATAGAAATCTCAGGATTTTACTTCAAGTTATATATTAGGGAAATACATATCCCCCAAATATTTGCTAAAGAGAAAATACATGGTAGCTATTCTTAATTTTCCATCTGTGTTTTCTTCAAAATTCCAATTGATTTTAAATATTTTTTCATTTCTGTTGCAATATTTAACTATATTAGAGATCAAAATGGGACTCATACTTTTTTTTTGAGTAATAATCTTGACAGTTCTTTCATTCATGCTTGCTTTCTTCTCTTCAGGTAGCAAATTATGGAGTTGGAGGACAATATGAACCTCATTTTGACTTTGCACGAGTAAGTAAAAGAAATGGAGACCACAACCATCACTGAAACGTAGGCATTACACTGTTAAAGAAGAAGTTTTCCTAACATATGTTAAAAGTAAGGTGGACTCTATTCAAGGGAGCGCTGTTTTGGTAGTTACAGGGATCACAGCAGTAGGGTTTTACATTGAGGGACATCTCCAGGATTTTAGGTACTGCAGTAATTAAACACAGAATGCAAGGTAAGTGCATGGGGTGGGGGGAAGGATGGAACAAAAATAACAAACTATCAAAATGATTTAGCATATTTGAAAAGTAAGTCAAAGGAAGTTCTAAAAGAAAAAAATTGAGGATTTAAAAAATGTAATGGATAAGTTAAAAAATTTAGAAACAGATGAAATGAATTAGTAAAGCATTTACCAGACTGCATTTTGAGAGAGAAAAGCAAGCAAAAGAATTGGGGTACAGTGGTGTATACCTAGTCATCACAACAACTCAGGGCTAAGGCAGGAGGATCTCAAGCCCAGGAGTTCCAGAGCAGCCTGGACGCCGTAGTAAGACACCATCTCAAAAGATACTGTACTGGAGAGTAGGGTAGGTATTATTAAAACAGCTCTTAAAAGGTCTGTGCTACTAGACAGGGGTTCTTGGTTTAAAACTAGTAAGTATTGGTATCTTTTTACTTAATATATTCAACTATAAATGACGGTATTACTAAATCTTAACTTCAGGTTTATCATAATTACTTAAAATTCTAATGAATATGCATATTTCAGCAAAGTTCTTGATGGAATACCATTATTAGAGAAGAGTAGATTAATTTGAAAGAAAATTGTTGTGTAATGGCCCTTTCATGGCTCAATCCCAGAATCTTGGGCTTTTTTTCTGTGAAGACTTGCAAAGAATAAATTTTACTCTAAATATGTGAGGAGTTTTGATGATGTGAAAGATTATACAGTGACAACCTGGATGTTACAAAACTAAATTGTGTGATATTAGGATTTTGTTTTGAAGTATTAATTCATAGGAAGTAACAAAATGAATGTGCAGGGAAGTCCCATGCACCTTCCTGCAGCTGCCCCTGTGTACACTGACAAAACCAGGAATTTTGTTTTGGCAACAGTTCATTCATATTTCATTTGTTTCTGTGTGTGGCTCTGTGCAGTTTTATCACAGTGTAGCTGTATGTAATTACTACCACAGTCAAGATCTATTATGTATCAGAACAAGGTTCTCTTGCAGAAGCCCACATACCCTCTTCTCCTCCTGTCTACTGCTGGTAACCAGTAATCTGCTTTATTTGTAATAAAATTCATGAACGCCACATGAATGGAACCGTACAGCACGTATCCTTTTGAGATTGTCTTTCTTTGTCCACTGTAATTGCCTTGAGGTTCACCCAGTTTCTTCCACGCATCATCTGTCTGTTGCTCAGTAGTCATGCTTGGTATGGGTGTAACACAGTTCAGGAACCTCTGGATAGTTTTTAGTTGTTATTACAAATAATGATTTGTATAAATTTCTGTATGAAAAAATACAGTCTCTTGGAATTACTCCAGAAAAATGAAAATGTATTTTAATTAGATTTAAATAGCTAGATATGAAGTTTCCAGCCTGATTAAAGTACTGACTATCCAAAAGAAAGACATCATAACACTAAATATTTGAGTGGGTTGTGAGTTGAAAGTAAACCTCATTATAAATTTTTTACCCATGGAGAACAAGTTTCATGAATACAGCTAAGAGGTATCTCTTGTGTCTTATTTTTTTGGAAGCTAAAATTATAGGTATTAATTTTTAAAATAGTCTGTGGTTGATATTTGTTCTCATTGTTTAGGCTAAGAATCTGGTTTTCCCTCCCCCCATAATTGTGTCAAAAATGTCCAGTGTGTAAGGTGAATTAACAGTTTGCAAGTACTTGAGTGGGACATGTTAGTAGTACTCAGATTACATGGGAACCTGTCGGGGTTACTTTTGGCATATTCTTCTTTTCCCCCCAGTACCAGGAATGGAACTCAGGACCCTGCATTTGCCAGGCAGGTGCAATGCTACTGATGCTTAAGTTGTCACTGGAGTATTTACATTACTGAATTTTAAACCATTGAATTTTCTGGGGTTTGTTTTTTCACAGAAAGATGAGCCAGATGCTTTCAAAGAACTGGGAACAGGAAATAGAATTGCCACGTGGCTGTTTTATGTAAGTGATGGCTAAAATTTTTGAGAGTTGATCACATATTTCATTTATTTTAATGTGTTAAGTTTGTTCAGCATAGCTCTTTAAACATTCTAGTTTAAACTTTTATGACCAAGTAAAAGGTGTTAACAATTTTTTCCCCTCTGCAACTTTAAAAATTTGGGAATATAGATATTCATTGTAGAAACTTGGGGAAAACCTAAAGAAGAAAATTAAAATTACTGATAACACTGTTCTTGGAAGTAATCATTAATATTTTGGAATAATATGTATATATACATACACATTATTGTAGCAAACTTCCAAATTAAATTTTTATTAAAGTATATCAGAAGATGTGCTTGCTTTGGCAGTACATACTCTTTAAAAGTATGTCAGAAGAGTCAATGCAGCTGGTAAACAGCACCCAAATCAAGAAATAGTACCTTTGAATACCCTAGAAGCTCTTCCAACAGTGACCACTCTTACAATGTTGAAAGTTTCAACAGTATGATCTTATTTTAAAAAATTAATATATTGATATATTTCAACAATCCGGTTTCGGTGTTTGTGGTGCCAGGGATCAAAGGGCATCACTACTCATGCTAAGCACATACTTTACCACTGAAATCTATTTCCAACCTGTTGTTACAATCGTAAAATTTGCTCCAGTTTTCCATTGTTTGCACAACACCGCATCCCAAAACTGAATGGTTTAAAACTGTCCTTTTAGTACCATCTCTCATGGTGTGAGGTTGACTGGGCTCCCCTCGCAGTTCCTGCTCTCATGCATTTAGTCTGCACTATAGTGGTCCTGAAGTCTGAGGCTGGCTGTCAGCCATCTTACCAACAGCTTTGGCCAATCCATGTAGCCTGGGCTTCCTCACAGCATCGTGACCGTGCTGCAGGAGCAAGCGTCTCAGAGGAGCAATTCAAAAGTCACTGCATTGTATGACCTACCCTCAGAAGTCATATAGTGCAGTTCCTGTTGTATTCTATTAATTGAAGCATTTGCAAAGGCCTGCCTCACTCAAGATGATGGAACATAGGCCTGCTGCCCTTGAGGTGCATGTAAAGAGAGCAGCAGGGCTGAAGAGGTAGCTCAGTGGTAGAGAGCTCATCTGCCTACCATGCACAAGGGCCTAGATTCAGTCCGCAGCACTGCCCCAAAGCATGCAGGATGAGACAGAGCAGGATGTATTCTAACCTATAATTTAGAAAAATGTATTTTATATCTAGACCTTTATACTCATTTCATCATCCATTCTTGGTCGTACCCTTTGAATTTTATGAAATGTATCTCCTTTTGCTATCTGTAATATCTCACTGCCCACCTGTCTTTCTGCTCAACCTATGCCCTTCCCCTCTCTCTGCCTCCTTTCCTATCATCTACGTTCTCACCCTCTTTCCCTTCTCTCTCTCTTTTCCTTTTTTCCACCCCCCTTGCAACTCCATTTTTCCCCAAAAAGATATAAGGCACATTACTAAATAAAAATAAGAGAGGAATATCACAAAGGGAAAAACCAGGAGAGAAGCTGGTATGTTCTGCTATTATGAAGGACTGCAAACCTTCTAGAAGTGAGTTCTCCACAGAGCTGTAGCAGTCTGTCTTGGTCTGTACATCTTTCGCTTATCAAATTGGCAGTTACAGTGTGGTTCTAAATTTGTATCTCTTGTATCTTAATTTGTATCATCTTTTAAGAACCACTAATGTTTCCTTTGTTCCTGTGTTTGTTTCTTCACATAATACTTTGCTTTATAACTGAAATATGTACTGAACAGAAGTTCTTGAAATACTTTTGTAGATGCTGAAGATCGGCAATAAAAAAAGATGAAAAATTTTGCCAAAATTTATGGAGAATACCTTCTAGTTTAGTAAAATAAATATTTATGTCTCTGTGTTGCTTGATATATTGGTTTTAAGTCATTTCTTTTTCTCTTCCTTTTTTGTTAATCATTGCTTTTTGCAGTTCTTTAATTCATGTAGATAAGCCTAAAAAGCATTTTGGTTTTTAAAAAACTGAATAGCATGCAGACTCCAGGTGTGTAAGCAGAAGCCTTTATGTTTCCAGTATTCCAGTATCAAATCCTGCATGCAGTGGTGTGCTTTATCGACACATTGGGAATAATGCCCTTCTCTCTTGCAGATGAGCGATGTGTCTGCAGGAGGAGCCACTGTTTTTCCTGAAGTAGGAGCTAGTGTTTGGCCCAAAAAAGTAAGTGTAGTTTGTTAGGGAAGTTTTATTTTTTGTCTCGTTATTTTTCCCCTCCGAGAAAGAGATGTACCTGTAATTTCATGGTCTAATTAATGAATTGCTAACATTTTTAAAGGTACTTAAGAGCTACCTTATCTCTCATCATCTCTAGGTAGTTTTGGGGTTTTACGGTACATTTTTACCATGAATATCTAGTGTAAGGAACAACCAGGCGACTATCATTTTAAAGTTTTCATTTGTATAGTGGTTTTGTATGATTTTTTTTTTCTCATCCATACTACTATTGCTAGGTTTGCTATCTTTGTTTGGGCAAACGTTTTGTTAAGCAGCTTTGTGGTTAAAACTTTTTCATATGATCAAGTTTTTCAGGTGATACTTTCACAATTAAATTGGAGGATGATATAATGCTACTATGGAGGGAACAGCATTTATGTACTGTCGAAGATGATAATGTGAGATTTGTTTGTGCTAATTTTGAATTGTCCTCCCTAGGGCACTGCTGTTTTCTGGTATAACCTATTTGCCAGTGGAGAAGGAGACTATAGTACACGGCATGCAGCCTGTCCGGTACTAGTTGGAAACAAATGGGGTAAAACTATTTCTTGTGTTCCTAAAAAGAATTTGTGATTTTTGTCTTTTTTCTTTTTCCTGGTGGTCTGGGGGGTTGAATCCAGGGCCTTTTACAGTCCCAACTCTTATCATTTTGAGACAGGCTGGGCTCCGACTTTTCATCCTTCTGCCTCAGTCCCCACCTCCCCCCAGTCCTGAGATTATAGGTGTGCACCATCACATCTGGCGGATTTGTTTCATTTTGTAACTAATCTATACTTTTGAACAGCCTCTCTCCCATAACTTTACCTATAATGACATTAACATTGGATGGGATTCCAACTAAAAGTTCCTGATCATAGTATAAATTTGCATTATTCAGATCAGAATTTTGATGACAGGTTTTTAAAATTCCATTTCCATTTGTTATCCCAAGAAAGATTGACTCAAAGTTAAATAAGACAGTATCTTCCCCTCAAGAGATTCACAATTTGAGACTATATACTAACAGAAAAATCAGAATGAAGTGGGGGGCCTTCCTCAAAGCTTAACTTTTGCATTTGGTTCTCAACATAGGACAGCAGATTTGCAGGTACATTAGGGGCCAAGATTATTGTCAGGCTAAAGTAGCACCTAGGGTGCAAAACTTCAAGGGGCATCTTGCACAGCCACTTGCCCAGTAAAAAAGAAAATATATCCACCTCATCATGTCACTTTCCACACGTATTTACCATTACTGTTTGAGAGAGGAGTAAGGCTCACTCACCAGAGTTTAAAGATCTCCCCCGCCACCACCGCCAAGGGTAATGTTTGTGAGCTACTAGACTACAGTGAAGAGAGGCTGGGTGGGGATATCAGTTTTTCAAGGCCCTTTGTGTTGTCTTAAGTGGGCAATGATCAAAGCCTGTACTAAGGCAACAGTGAAAGGTTGGGGAACAAACAGATTCGAGAGACAAGTAAGGACACTGACAGGGTTGGATAAGTAAAGACTGGATACAAGGGTTGGTGAAGATAAAAGAGCAATTAAGAGTTAAGGTACTTCTTTGATTTAGTATATGCCTGTGCCAGTCATTGGGTTCTCTCATACCACAGATGGAGTAGAAAAGTAATTTCTTTGGGGGCGTAATTTAAAAAGTATCTTGGCACCAAGGAATCCTAATGGGTACATAACATCAGTGATCGGTCAGTCAGTGTTGCTCCTGTAGATTGAAAGTAGGTTAAAAAATGTTCTGCTCAATCTGTATCTGATTTTCTTTTTTGTATCTGTATCTTAATTTACTTGTGTGTCTCATTCTAATGCTCACATTGAAAGTTAGAAACTTTAGGAAATGAAGAGACTCAAATGTACCTACACATGTGTATACATACCTGCATATATAAATATGTACAAAATTTTCTGTGTTTCCAATGTTTAAGTAACATCTGCCTTTATGTGGTTTTGGTCTTGAACTTTTTAATCCGTTAAAGGGAAGAAAAATAATATATACCTACTGTATTTTTCTCTCACAGTATCCAATAAATGGCTTCATGAACGTGGACAGGAATTTCGAAGACCTTGCACTTTGTCGGAATTGGAATGACAAACTGTGTCCCCTGCCTCTCCCGTTGTTGTACCCTAATGTGTCTGATACACACAGTTCCTAGTCTTAACTTTCAGGGTTTACAATTGACTAACACTCCATGACTGAGTCAATCATGAACCTCATCCCATGTTTCATCTGTGGACAATTCACTTTATGGGTTTTCTCTTTTACAAGTAACACTAAGTCACCACACTTGATAAAAGCTTAGTCGGTATAATGAAAGACAAGGCAGAGTTAAAATGAGGAATCTTAAATTTTATATTTTAAATAACTTTTTGTTTGGATAAATATAATTTAAGCATCTGTTTTAGTATTTCAGAACATCTCAACTGATGTGTAGGCCAGAGTGGGCTGTGTGGAGGAAGCACATACTTCTAGCTAGGTGTCCTTTTGGCCTCGTCCTCCTTGCAGCTCATTTTCTGGACTTGCCTGAACCCCAGTAATGAACTAGGAATTTGATCTGGGCTCTCCATGGTATTTGCCCCTCTATACATTATTCTAAGTTGAGTTTTCCCCGTGTCCTCTTAAAAAACAAACAAACACTATATTTCACCAATCCTCTTCTCTCATAGCTACTTTGTGGTGAATTAATCTTTTAAAAGCAAAGTCCTGCATAACAGCATTAGGCCTTCTTCACATGCTCATTAGTCTGTTCTTCCTTTCTCTTGAGTGACTGGTGATTTTTTCCAGAAATTTTGTTTTTCTTAGTGCCAATACTTTGCCTCTTACAGCAGGGTGGTGACAGTGGCATTCTGATTAAATATTGTGCCTTAGGAGACTGGAAGTTTAAATATGTACAGGTCCTTTCAGTGATGAGGGAATTGATTTTTCAAAGAAAATAATTTTCTTAAAAAGCCAAAATGTTTGTTTAAAAATTCTGAAATGTGTTGTGACAACAATGACCTATTTATGATCTTAAATCTTTTTTTAAAAATGTTTCTGTTTTGTGTGTGATATTTTTTGTAGTTAAATCTGAATATATAATAGAGCAATAGCAGGTTAATTTTAACTTATGTTACTTCTTTAGTACATGGGACCTAGCTTTACACTCTTGTTTTTCACTCACAATGATGCCACATTGTTTTGGAAGAAAAATATAAATAATGAAACTTCGGAGACCCTAATCAAGATTTGCTTCTTTTAGGTTGAGGTATACCTCAGGAGAGTGCTTGACTGGCACAGGCCCTGTGTCTGATCCCCAGCAGCATGCACACACACACACACACACACACACACACACAAAAAAAAAAAAAAAAAAAAAACAAAGAAAAAGGTGTTTTCTTTTCTTTCAAGAGAGTTCCTTAATGGTGCTCATGGGTTTCTCCTATTCAAAAATAGGTATAGTAGTAACAACGGTGTGAATAAAACTGATCATATTATTTTTACCTAAGTATAGAATGAAGTATGAAGGTCCTCTCAACTACCCTTTTCTTTGTTCCATTATAAATATCTTAGCAAAACATTGAGAAATTAAGTTCATCACTATCATCCACTCAGACTGTGCAATTATAGATGATTTAAGAAAAACACTTTTAAAGCTAGGGGTGTAACTCAGTGGTAAAGCACACATATTTAGCATGTGTGAGGCCCTGGGTTTAATCCTTGAGGCACACACACACTTTTCTAGTTTAGATGGAAAGAATAAATTCAAAAGTATAAAAATGAACCAGGTTCGGGGTTATTGTATGTTTTAGCAAATCCAAAAAAAAAAAACTTTCAGAAGGAAATTAGATATTCCCTAATCTTACAAATTCCCATTATATTCAACTCAGAATGTCATGTGGAGATTGGTAAACTCTCAGGATTAGATCTGTTCGGGCTCTCCAAAATTTCACAATTACTGGTGATTTTTCTTTACAAATTGGGGATGGGAGGTCCCAGTATGAAGCGTTGGGTCCAGCTGCACAGTTTTCTTTATTGTGACCTTTCAAATACATAAGAGCTAGAACTATCCTAGAACATGGGAGTCTCCTCATTAACTCAAAATCTGTCTTTCAAGACTACAAGTTGGTGGTGCCCTAGCTTACTACCAATGAGTACCTACTTGAACACCCTTAAAGCAGGGTCAGTGTGGTAAGTGGTAAGATGAATGAAAAGAATGGAAGAATGACTTTAGGATTCTTTGGCTTAATGATAAATGCAGTGATGAAAATAAGTCATCTACTTCAGTAAAAGTAAAGTGGTGCTTATTTGAGCGTGAGAGGGTTGAGAGCTGAGGCAGTAAAATAACGTGCGATACAAACTACATGCATTTATGTGTACACAATGGAAGACTAAACGTCCACATGGCCTGTGCTGCCTGCTGTGTGTGAAGCCCACACGAATCTCTACACTCAAAAATGAGCAAGTTAGAGCTGGGGATTTAACTCAGTGGTTCTGCCACCTACCTCGCAAGCACAAGGACCTGAGTTCGATCCCCATACCAAAAAAAAAAAGACAAACAGAAATGAACAATTTATGTGCAGGACACTATGGCTAAGCAGGCAAGTGATAGGAAACTTACAGGTTAACACCGAAACACATACCCAAGATTAAGTATAAGTTATTTGATCAGGAATAAAAGTTGCTAGGAAAAAGAATAGAAAAATGACATTTTAATCTGAATAGCCAGCAATACACAAGAATCAATCCCTTGGCAGCACCTATATCCTGAATTGTTACAAACAGGTATTTTTAGGGCCAGGGATTTGGCTCGGTGGTTCCGCTGCCTGCCTTGCAAGTGCAAGGGCCTGAGTTCAATCCCCAGTGCCAAAAACAAAAAACAAAAAACAAAACAACAAAACCAAACCAAAACCAAAAAAGGAATAATATTGAAAGGAATGAATTATCAACATGAGTTCAATAAATGACCAGATTTATCAGAATAAAATAGATTTCATATTCCTGTTCTCATGTCCTTCAGTATTTTCCTCACCACCCTTGATGTTTTGCAAAATTAACTATTTAAACTGGTAAAGTTCTTGGCTGCTTGCTTTTAACTATTTGAGAACTTTAAAGTTGATTTTCTATATAAATGTAGGCTTCAGCAAAGCATAAATTTGACAAAAAGACTAAGCCTGCCTTACTGTTCATTGTTTTTACAACTTAGCAAACAAGCAGATGTTAGACAAAAAACAAAGCGAGTGGAAGCTAGTTCCTCACAGCCCTAAATCTGTCTTCCATTTTCTGCTTTTTGGGGCCTTGGTAAATTCCCTCTGCAGTGCTATTCTGTTGAAATTAATTGTACAAAGCAAGATATTACAGATTTGATAAACTCTAAAACCTATAAAAGGAAAATCCTCCGATTTTATCATTTGGTTCTTTAATTTCAAAGTAGCCTTATTTCTTCTATAAACTTGTTTTAGACTAAGCACTAAGAATTCAGACTAGACTAGAACACTTCAAATACAGAATGAGACGCTCTTAGCATTTCAGTGCTTTTTAGGGAGAAGGATTATATGAAGTCAGCCTTTTCTTAGGTATTCAATTAACCTCCACAAAGAATCAGAATTATTACAATATTTAAAGTATCAAGGGTGGTTAGGTTCTGTTACAATGTAGGTTTTTTATGGGTTTGGATGATCATGATTTAAATTATATAAAATACGTAATGGTTCACTGAAAACATTAATCATCCTTTGATATTTATATAATACTGTAGTTAAATCTTAAGACATGAAATAATTTACATAAAGGTTTATGTTCTATTTTTACTTTCAAAAGGCAAAAAGTTGAGGTTCTGTGACATGAAACATTTAGATTTTATGAGACAAGTCTTAAGACTAAAAATAGTGCTTTCTTATAGAATAATGGAATATTAACCTGTTTATTCCTATATATTGGACAATCTATATGAAATGAAAATATTTCTTGGACAAATTACTAAAATCTACTCAAGAAATTGTCTGAATAGCCCCATTTTTAAGTAAAGAAATGGAATGATTAAAAATATTACTACAAAGTTGAGGCCTAGTAACTTCACTGGTGAATTCTGTTAGATTTGTAAAGGAGAATACCAGTCCTGTACAAATGGCTTCAGAAAGGAGAGGATGGAAAGTTTTCTGCTCATTTTAAGGAACAAGCATTACCCTGGTGCCAAAACTCTTCAAAGGAAACTACCCTATCAGCATCTCTCATAAACATAGATAGCAAATCCGATCCAAGAAAAAACATGCTGGGTTGGGATTAGTTCAAAAATATGAGACTGGTTTAACATTCAAAATCCAGTGTATAGCTGGGCGCAGAAGTGCAGATCTGTAATCCCAGATACTTATCAGGCTAAGGCCAGAGGATTGCATCCTGAATAACTCAGCAAGATCCTATCTCAAAAACAAAAAGGGCCGGGGATTTAGTTCAGGGGTGCTGCCGTCTGCCTCACAAGTGCAAGGACCTGAGTTCACTCTCAGTACCCCAAAAGCAAACAACCAAAAAGAAACAAGAGCAGGGGGCATAGCTGAGTGTTAGCATGCCCCTAGGTTCAACCCTCAGTGCTCAAAAGAAAAAAAAAATGTGTAAGTTACTATATTAGAAGGATAAAAGATAAAAAGTACACGATCACTTCAACAGATGCAGAGAAAGCACGACAAAATTCAACACCATTAATGATTTTTAAAAAGCAAGAAACAAATTTCCTCAACTTGATAGAGGGTTCTTCCAAAAACCTTGCTATCATCATACTTAAATGGTAAGAGACTACTTATTCCCTGTGTTTGGAACAAGGCCAACAGTGTCTGCTTTCTTCTACTGCTATTTAACATTACTGGAAAGAAAATATGAGAAAATAAAAAAATGGAAATGAAGTGTTTGTAAAGATGGAGGGAGGAGAGGTAAATGGAGGGCAGGGACAAGGGGAAAAAATGAACCAAGACCTGTCATGTAGAGGTACAAGATCCCAGTAATGAATGTAACTATTGCATACCTAAAAGGTACCAATAAACTCAATGAAAAAAAGAAAAACAAAACAACTACTGGAGATCCTAGTCAATGCAGTAGCATAAGGAAAATAAAAGCACATTGGAAAGGAAGAAGTAATGTCTTCATAGATGACACAACTGAGTTACAGAATCTAATAAAGCCTTTAAAAACTAACAGGTTAAGATGAGTGAGGATACAAAAAGTCCAAATACATAAATGGATTAGAAACAATTCTGAGAAGGTGTGGTGGGTGTAACTCAGTGGTAGGATGGTAACGAGCACGACAGTGGGTTCAAGCCCCAGCAACACAGTGCAAACAAAAACAATGTGTAACAGCCTCTAAAATCTTACACACGTGAAATTAAAATAGATGCAAGAGCTATATGTTGAAAAAAATAAGATGCTGAGATCATTAGAGAAGCTAATATGTTTATATCATGTTCATGAATCAATGTCTTGATACTATTTTCCCCAAATGAATATGTAGATTCAGTGCAAATTCCAATCACAGTTCAAGCAAGTTTTCTTTTTTTTTTTTTGGTAACGGGGATTGAACTCAGGTCCTTGTGCTTGCAAGGCAGGCCACAGAACCGCTGAGCTAAATCCCCAGCCCCAAGTTTTCTTTTTAACTGACAGGTTCATT